CTTGCCAGGAGCTTTCTGTTCCTGTTGTGTCCCCCCTGTCTGTCACGTCCTGTCCCGTGTCACGGGTGTCAGCACACACATTTGTGCCGGAGCTGCTCTGCCCTGCCGCATAGCCTGGTGCAGTAGGAGAAGTCCCTGGGAGTTTGTAATGTGGGGTGTAGTGGGACTCTAGATGGGATTTGTAGATGGACACCAGACGTCTGGAGCTCCTAAGTTATCCTGCAACAGTTTGACTCTTGTCCTAACTTTTTTTTCAGATTCAGATGGATTAAATGTGTGCCAGAGGGCCCCATCCCGGGTGAGGGGTTTCCCCCAAGCAGGTGAGGCGCCGTTTGTCTCTGCAGCAGAAGTGTATATGGTGACTCTGTTACAGCACTGTTCTTTGTCTTTCTTTTTAGGAAGCAAATGTGGATACCAGCTGTCAAGGTGAGCAGTGGAGAGCAGTAGTTGTTATTGCTCAGGTCTCAATTTCTGGTGCAGCTCTAAGCTTCCGTTCTCCTTTGTGCACTTTAGGCAATCCACTCGGAGTATGCCAAGCCCCCGTCACCAGCCGGCCGATGCTCCGGGTTCCCTGCATGTGTGAGCCCTGTGGATGCATTACAGGACTTGGTGATGAAGCCCTGAACTTTTCTATTTAAAGGTGCCATCCAGGTGGCCTCCAGCAAGTGCTGAGGAGTTGTGGTGAGTCAGGGAAGTAGGGGGGAGGAGCGAGGGTCCACTCAGGTTTCAGCCGTGCCAAATCACCTCATCTCCTCTGAACCCAGGCGTCCCCTGTGGCGACGGCCTCGGTCTCTGAGCGTGCCTGAAGCGTGCGGCCCGAGCAGCTGAGCGTTCTTAGGAGCACGGTGAGTAGCAGACTTGTGGGGTTTTGGCCGATGTGGTGCCACGATCAGGCATTGATGTTTGGTTTTCTTTAATACAGCTGTCTAAGAGACACCAGCCCGGTGCCAGCAGGACCTTCCCAGCTGACGAGGTGGCCTTTCTTTGCACCTGAGACCGGCATCCCCAGATGTCTGAGAGAGAAGTAGAGGGCTACGACCCCCAGGGGGGATGAAAGCAGGGTGCTGGTTTGGGAAATACTGGGAGGGGTTTTTGAGTCCGCTTTGGAGGTGGGGGGGGTGTCCATGAAGTGGCCCCTTAGGCCCCATAAAAGCAAAATCTCACTTTTGATCCCAGTGCTGAGGTGCGCAGGGCAGAGCAGTCCCGGTGTGTATGATGTCCCTTGTCTATTGTGCCTTGTGTGTTGTTTGGGTATCTCATGTCTCTTACCTTAGCCTTTTCAGGGGCCTGTCAGAAACCTTGGCATTGTTCTTATCCTCTGTGATCTCTGCATTTCTTGGCCTGGCACCCATGCCATACAACCTTTGCCTGGGGAGCTCAGACATGTATCAGATTCGCATCTCTCTTTGGAAGCATCCGGTCAGATGTCTTTTCAGGTCTTGTTCTGAGCTGTATGGACAGCTATGCCCTGCCAGGATCCATTATGGCAGATTAGGACTTGAAAGAATGTGAGGACAGGTAGAGGCTTCTGACCGTAGGATTCTCGGGCATCCATCTTTGCAGTTCTTGGAATAAATCATTCAGTTAGCATCTTCTTCCTTCAGTGTTTTCTGAGCCACATCAGCTTGCCATCAGTCTCACCTCAGTCATCTCATTTGGCATCCTGTCGTTGCTCGCAGTAATCGTTTTTGCCAAGAGATTTCTGTCTGTGTTGTGTGCCCATTGTTTGTCGTGTCCTGTCTGTCCTGTGTCACGGGTGTCTGCACATATTTGTGCCAGAGCTGCTCTGCCCTGCTGCATAGCCTTTTGTAATAGGACAAGCCCTGGGGAGTTGAAATTTTTCATGTGGGGTGTACTTGGACTCTAGATGCTGTTCCTAGATTGATATAAGGTGTTTGCAGCTTTTGAGTCATCCTGCAGGTGTTTGACATATGTTCTAACTCTCTTGCAGGTGCAGATGCATTGCATCCATGGCAGAGCACCCCATCCCGGGTGAGGGGGTTCCCCATAGCGGGTCAGTCACCATTTGTCTGTGCAGGGGATGCGTCAAGTGTGACCCTGTTACAGCGCTGTTCTTTGTCCTTATTTTTAGGAAGTATAGCTGGATCTCAGCAGTCAAGTTCAAGAGGGTAAGGTGAGCAGTAGCCTTTCTTGTTGCTGAGGTCTCAATTCCTGGGGCAAGTCTAAGTCTCCATTCTCGTTTTTGTGCCTTAGGCCATCTGCTCGGAGCATGCCAAGCTCCCATCCCCAGCTGGCCGACGGACCGGGTTTGCCGCTCTCGCGAGCCCCGCGTTCCGGGCAGCCGTCAGGAACCGCCGAGGAGTTGCGGTGAGTCAGGGAAGTAGGGAGGTGGAGCGCGGGTCCACTCAGGTTTCAGCAATGCCACGTCACCTCCTGTCCTCTTAACCCAGGCGTACCCCACGACGACGGCGTCAGCCTCCGAGCGTGGCCGGAGCGTGCGACCCGAGGAGCCGGGCCTTCTTAGGAGAAGGGTGAGTAGCAGACTTGTGGGGTTTTGGCCAATGTGGTGCCACGATCAGGCATTGATGTTTGGTTTCCTTTGATATAGCTGTCTAAGAGACAACGGCCCTGTGCCAGCAGGACCTTCCCAGCTGACAAGGCGGCCTTCCTTCGCACCTGACATGGACTGGGATTTCCATATGTCCAAGAGATAAGTCAAGGGCTACGACCCACAGAGGGGATGAAAGCAGGGTGCTGGGTTGGGGCTCCTGGGGGGGAGGGGGTTGAGTTGTCTCTGGAGATGAGGGTAGCCAAGATGTGGCCCCTTAGGCCGCGTAAAAGGAAAGTCTCACTTTTGATCACAGTGCTGAGGTGTGCAGGGCAGAGCAGTCCCGGTGTGTATCGTGTCCCTTGTCTTTTGTGTATTATGTGATGTTTGGGTATCTCATGTCTCTTATCTTTAGGCCTTTGAAGGGCCTGTCAGAAACCTTGGCGCCATACTTAGAATCTGTGATCTCAGTGTTCCTCAGCCTGGTGCCCAAGCCATAGAACCTTTGACTCGGGAGCTCCAACAGGCATCAGAATTGCATCTCTCTTTGGAAGCATCCAGTCAGGTGGCTTTTCAGGTCTTGTTCTGAGCTGCACGGACAGCCGTGCTCCGCAATGCTCCATTTCAACGGATTAGGCTTTGTAAGAATGCGAGGTTAGGGAGAGGATTCTGACCGTAGGATTCCTGGGTATCCATCTTTGCAGTTCTTGGAATAAATCGTTCAGCCAGCATCTTCCTCCAGGGTTCTCTGAGCCTCATCAGTTTGCCATCTGTCTCATCTTGGTCATCTCCTTTTGCATTCTCTGAGTCCTTGCAGCCACTTTCCTTGCCAGGAGCTTTCTGTTCCTGTTGTGTCCCCCCTGTCTGTCACGTGCCGTCCCGTGTCACGGGTGTCAGCACACACATTTGTGCCGGAGCTGCTCTGCCCTGCCGCATAGCCTGGTGCAGTAGGAGAAGTCCCCGGGAGTTTGTAATGTGGGGTGTAGTGGGACTCTAGATGGGATTTGTAGATGGACACAAGATGTCTGGAGCTCCTAAGTTATCCTGCAACAGTTTGACTCTTGTCCTAACTTTTTTTTCAGATTCAGATGGATTAAATGTGTGCCAGAGGGCCCCATCCCGGGTGAGGGGTTTCCCCCAAGCAGGTGAGGCGCCGTTTGTCTCTGCAGCAGAAGTGTATATGGTGACTCTGTTACAGCACTGTTCTTTGTCTTTCTTTTTAGGAAGCAAATGTGGATACCAGCTGTCAAGGTGAGCAGTAGTTGTTATTGCTCAGGTCTCAATTTCTGGTGCAGCTCTAAGCTTCCGTTCTCCTTTGTGCACTTTAGGCAATCCACTCGGAGTATGCCAAGCCCCCGTCACCAGCTGGCCGATGCACCGGGTTCCCTGCATGTGTGAGCCCTGTGGATGCATTACAGGACTTGGTGATGAAGCCCTGAACTTTTCTATTTAAAGGTGCCATCCAGGTGGCCTCCAGCAAGTGCTGAGGAGTTGTGGTGAGTCAGGGAAGTAGGGGGGAGGAGCGAGGGTCCACTCAGGTTTCAGCCGTGCCAAATCACCTCATCTCCTCTGAACCCAGGCGTCCCCTGTGGCGACGGCCTCGGTCTCTGAGCGTGCCCGAAGCGTGCGGCCCGAGCAGCTGAGCGTTCTTAGGAGCACGGTGAGTAGCAGACTTGTGGGGTTTTGGCCGATGTGGTGCCACGATCAGGCATTGATGTTTGGTTTTCTTTAATACAGCTGTCTAAGAGACACCAGCCCGGTGCCAGCAGGACCTTCCCAGCTGACGAGGTGGCCTTTCTTTGCACCTGAGACCAGAATCCCCAGATGTCTGAGAGAGAAGTAGAGGGCCACGACCCCCAGGGGGGATGAAAGCAGGGTGCTGGTTTGGGAATTACTGGGAGGGGGGGATTTGAGTCCGCTTTGGAGGTGAGGAGTGTCCATGAAGTGGCCCTTAGGCCCCATAAAAGCAAAATCTCACTTTTGATCCCAGTGCTGAGGTGAGCGGGGCAGAGCAGTCCCAGTGTGTATTGTGTCACTTGTCTTTTGTGTATTATGTGTTGTTGGATATTTCATGTCTTTTATCATAGCCCTTTGAGGGGCCTGTCAGAAACCTTGGCATCAGTCTTAGTATCTGTACTCTCAGCGTTCCTTGCCCTGGCGCCGATGCCATGGAACTTTTAACTCGGCAGCTCAGACAGGTATCAGAATGGCAACTCTTTTTCGAAGCATCCGGTCAGATGTCTTTTCAGGTCTTGTTCTGAGCTGTATGGACAGCTGCACCCTGCAAGGTTCTGTTATGATAGATTAGGACTTGTAAGAATGTGGGGACAGGTAGAGGCTTCTGACCATAGGATTCTCGGGCATCCATCTTTGCAGTTCTTGGAATAAATAATTCAGTTAGCATCTTGTTCCTCCAGGGTTCTCTGAACTTCATCAGCACGCCATCAGTTTCACCTCAGTCCTCTAATTTTGCGTCCTCTCGGTGCTCGCTGTCATTTTCCTTACCCAGAGATTTCTGTTCCTGTTGTGTCCCCGTTGTTTGTCCTGTCCTGTGTCACGGGTGTCTGCACACATTTGTGCTGGAGCTGCTCTGCCTTGCTGCATAGCCTGGTGCAATAGGAGAAGTCCCGGGGACTTGATGTTTGTAATGTGGGGTGTCGTTGGACTCTAGGTGGGATTTGTAGATGGGCACAAGATGTCTGGAGCTCTTAAGTTATCCTGCAGCTCTTTGATTTTTGTCCTTTCTTTCAGGTGCAGAAGGATGAAATCCAGGGCAGAGCCCCTCATCCCGGGTGAGGGGATTCCCCCGAGCAGGTCAGTCACTGTTTGTCTCTGTAGAGAGAGCATAAATGATGGCTGTTAGAGCAGTCTTCTTTGTCTCTCTTTTTAGGAAGTCAAGGCCAAGTGGGCGAGGTGAGCATTGAGTAGTGTACAGAAGCAGTTGTTTTTGCTGATGTCTCAGTTTCTGGTGCAGCTCTTAGCATCTCCACTTTTTATTTTAGGTGGTCCACTTGCCATCTATCCTGGCCGGGCATGCCCATTCCAGCTGTGTGCAGCTTAAGGTATCAGTGTGGCATCCTTGTCAGATTTGGGAGGTTGTGTTTTCGCAGTGTCTCAGCATGCTTTTCTGCTTTGTTTCTTTGCAGGTGCGGTCGCTGCCCTAGGCACGCCAAGGAACAGAGGAGGGCAGGTGAGTCGGTGTTTAGGCAGGCTGACTCACAGGTGAGTGTTACACAGCAGCATGCTGAGTGTGTACCTTTTCTCTTTGCAGGTATCTTCTGGGCACCCTCTGGAGTCAAATCAAGATTTGAGGTGAGCCGGGGCAGGGGTGCGGAGGAGTCCCGGGGATTACTGTTTTTGACGGCAATAGTCACCTTTTCTGTTTTGTCTTAGGTACCCTTAGGAGCCTCGTAGCCCAAGGTTGGAAACGACAGCACCGAGGCACACACGGAGCACGTTTCAACATCCACGTCGGACCGAGGATGGATTTTGTCTGCTCCTTTTCCAAAAGCTAAGTGTCGGGGCCAGCAGTTGGGAGAAGGGGAAAAACCTTTACTATCACAGAGGGCAATTTGATGTCAGCTTAGCGGAGAGGTCTGTAGTGGGACCAGCTCTCTGGAAGAAAAGGGAGAGGATTTCTCCTCAGCCTGACCAGAGCCTTTGCCGGGCAGGGCAGTTCCGACCCATCTCAGGATTCTCGTGAACTTTGCATCGTCCGCCTTCCTCGGCCCGACGTCGTCACGGATCTTTCCCCTGAGGAGCTCGCCTTCACGTCCGGAGCTATAGCCACGGTCACCTGGCCGTCGGCTTCCTTCTCTAGGCTTGCTGAGCCTCTCGAGCATCCTCTTAACTGCTGTGGCACTAACTTCTTTTAACGAGTTACATTTCATCATCACGTGCTATTGTCATAGGGCTTCCTCTCCTTTGGCATCATCAGCCTCTGGCACATCTTGCGCTAGGCATCTCGGGTGCCTAAGGGGACAGTGCCAGGCAGTTGCCACTTGTCTCTGTGTTATGTCACCCGTGTCTGTGTTGTCCGTGTCTGTGTTGTCCGTGTCTGTGTTGTCCGTGTCTGTGTCCGTTGTCTTCCACGTCATAGGCCTTTGTTACGTCTCAATGCTTTATTGGCACTATTCTGTGCCGTATAGGCTGTATTCTACTCACGTTCCTTTCTGGATATCCCTTATTCTGGCATCTTTACATTTTTACTCTTTGAGACAGGAATGTCTCAAACGGACAAGATGTTCTCATCCATCTTCCTTCTCACTACCAGCTTTGGTAGTGCCTTTTTTTCCGTGCCATTTTCTTGGACTGCTAGAGGGAGTGTCTTGCACCCTCCTCATGTGACTGCAGTACTTCTATAGGTTCCATCTTCTGAAGGGTATAGGACTCAAGAATTCATCTTCCAGCGAGTTATCTCAAGTCCTGGCTTATATTGCGTGTACCTGTGCTGACTTATACTGTATGTACCTACCCTCTATGTACACTTGCACTGTATGCATCGACTTACATTGTTGTGTGTACTTATATTGTACCACTTATGGTTGGAGCTGCCCTGCCCGGGCACGTAGTCACAGTCAGGTAGAAGAGTTATAAAAACTTTACTGTTCATCTGTCTTTTATGGGATTTTGGGTAGAAAACTTATTGGTTCAGAGTGGAGACAAGTCCTAGCTGTCAGATAGCCACTCGTTGACCGCTTCCTGTCGTCTCACAGGTCCCCAAGGCTACCGATTTCCCCAGAACCTACCAACTGACGTCAAGGAGCGCAGCCAGAAGATGTGTGGCAGCACGTTCTTCAGCGTCTCGAGTAAGGGCCGCAGCGAGTGTGTAAGTGGGAAGAGCGTGTGAGCATGTGTGAGAGCATGTGTCTGTCTGCGTCTGCTCATCTCTGCATGTGTCAGCGCATGCCGACTGGATTACTGGATTTAACCTTGTGTGTGTGACTTTTGCTTTTCAAGTTTTTCAACTCATTTTTAAATTTAGAATAAAAAATCCCCAGCTGGGTTTCCCCCCCGCCAGCTGTTTTTTTTTCCTCGGTCCCAGTCGGTCTGTGAGGTGACGTTCATCACCAGAGTTTGGGCGCGGACTGTCCAGGGACCGGGGTTTTTTTCAGGCAGGAAGATTTTTTTGAGGCTTCCGGGAACCACGTTCCCGAGGACCAATGATTGCTGGGGTGTAATTTAGCAGTTGTGATGAGAGGGATGGTGACTTCGTGTGTCATCTGAAGGGGGTGTTAATTGTAGATGAGTGTTGTTTTTTGTGTGCTTTTGTTGTTTTGGGTTTCCTATAACAGTAAATCTACATGTAATGAAAATAGAAAAAGGTTATCATCTTGTGTTAATATGTGTGTTGTGTTGTATTGCTCTGTATTGCAGGGTGAGCACAGGGTGAACTCTCTCCTCCTTGCTGTGACACCTGGGCTGGCAGGGATGACACAGTGACCTCGGCCGGCCGATGCTGCCTGTGCCATCACCTGGCACTGACGTGTTTGATGAAAATCCTTTTGCAGGGATTTTTCTCCTGAGAAGCCTCAGAACAGAAATGGAACCAATTACGATCTGCTGGCTGTGGAGTGTGGGCTGGAGATGGTTTAGCAACAGGGGCATCTTGGATTAGTCTCCTGTGCAGTGTCTACTTGATGACCAATCATGGTCCAGCTGCGTCGGGGCTGTGAACAGTCCCAGGTTTTTATTATTCATTCCTTTCCAGCTTTCTGATGTCTCCTTGCTCTTTTAGTATAGTTCTACTATCTCATTTTCTTTTAATATAATAGAGATCATAAAATAATATTTCAGCCTTCTGAGAGGTGGAGTCAAGATTCTCGTCTCTTCCCTCGTCCTGGGGACCCTCAAACACCGCCACAATCAGCAGCCGAGCGGGTTTGTGCGAGCCTCTCAGTAACCCTCGGCCGGTCCCGAGTCGGCAGACACCGGGGGGCAGCCCTGACACGGCCGAGAGCGGGGAGACACTGTCTGTGCCCTGAGGGTGCTGAGGGCACCTGGGCTGGGGGGAGACACTCTCTGTGCCCCGAGGGTGCTGAGGGCACCTGGGCTGGGCCCCTGTGCAGCACAAGAGACACCAGAGACATCGGTAGATGATAAAGGGCCGACTCTTAGCAGGGGTTAATCCAAGGTTTTATTAGGAGTCCCAAAGGAGCTCCTGCACCTCAGGGGCCTCCTGCCAAGCCCCAGGGAGATGTGCCAAGGTTACATTTAAAGGGAGGTGGAAACCGAAAGTAGATAACATTTTACCAACCAGTAAGTGACCCTAAGGGATGGATGCTGGGGCATAGACATACAGGACAGCGTATGGGGCAAGGCTCGGGGGGCTGACCCCTGGCCTCTGGCTAATCACTGGATGACTTGGACCGAAACTTCTGCATGGAGGGGATGGGAGGCTGAGTCATTGACAGAGAGCCAGGGTGGGGGTTTGGGGATGATCTCATCCCGGGAGAGGGATAACACAGGTAAAGGGAGGGGGGTACAGTTTGGGATAAACCATTTGGGAAAAATATGGGGATACAAAACAAAATGACTTCAAAGTATTATAAAGTATAAAAATGCACTACAGCAGGTTTGGGCAGCACCAAATGAAATGTAATAAAATGCTTTAAAAATAGAAAAATTAAAAATAAAAATTAAATAAAAGTAAAAAACCAAAATGAATTTAAAATAAATGAAAAACAAAATAAAAACTGTAAAGTGCTGTAAGAGTTCCATAAAAGGTAGTGCCGTAATGCAAGACCCTCAAACACCACCACAATCACCAGCTTGAGTTGGTCTGGGCAGCACTAAATAAAAAAAAAATAAAAACCTTTAAAAATAGAAAAATTAAAAATAAAAAATAAATAAAAAATAAAATTAGAAAAATAAAATAAAAGCTTTAAAAATAGAAAAATAAAAAATAAAATATAAAAATTAAATAAAAACTTTAAAAATAGAAAAATTAAAAATAAAAATAAAAAATAAAATAAGAAAAATAAAATAAAAGCTTTAAAAATAGAAAAATAAAAATTATAAAATAAATGCTTTAAAAATAGAAAAATTAAAAATAAAAAATAAAATTAGAAAAATAAAATAAAAGCTTTAAAAATAGAAAAATAAAAAATAAAATTAAAAAATAAAATTAAAGCTCTAAAAATAAAAAAATTAAAAGTAAAAATTAAATAAAAAATAAAAATAAAAAAATAAATGCTTTAAAAATAGAAAAGTTTAAACTTAAAAAAATAAAAAAATAAAAATCTTTAGAAATAGAAAAATTAAAAATAGTAAGTAAATTTAAAAAATAAAAAATAAAATAAAAAATGTTAAATATAGAAAAATTAAAAATAATAAGTAAATAAAAAATAAAATTAAAAAATAAAATAAAAATGCTTTAAAAATAGAAAAATTAAAAATAAAAATTAAATAAAAGTAAAAAAACAAAATGAATTTAAAATAAATGAAAAACAAAATAAAAACTGTAAAGTGCTGTAAGAGTTCCATAAAAGGTAGTGCCGTAATGCAAGACCCTCAAACACCACCACAATCACCAGCTTGAGTTGGTCTGGGCAGCACTAAATAAAAAAAAATTAAAAATAGAAAAATAGGAAAAAATATAAATTTAATCAAAAATAAAATAAAAAAATAAAATAAATTCCTTATAAATAGAAAAAGTAAAAATAAAAATTAAATAAAAAATATAAATAGAAAAATAAAATGTGTTTTAAAAATTGAAAAATAAAAATAAAATTAAAAAATAAAATTAAAGCCCTAAAAATATAAAAATTTTTAAAAAATTAAATTTTAAAAAAAAAGCTTTAAAAATAGAAAAATTAAAAATTAAATAAAAAATAAAATTTAAGAAATAAAATAAAAAGCTTTAGAAATAGAAAAATTAAAAATAATAAGTAAATAAAAAATAGAATGAGAAAAAGAAAAGCTTGAAAAATTAAAAATAAACATTAAGTAAAAAAAAAAATTAATTAAAAATAAAAATAGATTAAAAACAAAATAAAAACCATAAAGTGCTGTAAAGTACCATAAAACTTCCATAAAGGGTAATGCCATAAAG